TTAAAGTTCAAGTTCAAAGTGTTTATTTTGTCATATGCACAGTTAGGAAACGTGTTTTCCTGTGCAATGAAATTCTTACTTTGCCGTCCACATGATGAGCTGTAGCCAGGAAGAGAGACTTGATTCAAAAACAAATCCAGGGCTCACAGAACGATTTATTGTGCAGCTCTAACGTAATCCATATTCACAGATGACTAAAGCAAGTGCACAAATTACTATTAAAAAGTACGGAGGCCCCTGGAGGTCATGTGTTAGAAAAAAAAGATATTTATGTGAGAATCAAATAGCACAAATTACTAAACCTAGCACACAGATTGGTTTCCTGGGCCTGTGATTCAACCTTACGCCTGCCAGATATAAACCACAAACAAAGAGGACATAATTTGCCAGCACGACAAATGTAAAGTAAATAGTAGCACTTAATATATTAATACAGGCTTCCTATGTGTCCTGGAAAACCTGGACATTTTTGTTCCAGTTATGGAAATTGATATAAATTGTACAATGTCCTGTAAAAACACTGCATCATCTTGGGAAATAATTTCTTAGATTTTTGTATTGTCCTTTTGCTGAGAGTGAGCTGTTAAATCTTAGCATGAGGTGGCAGCTGAAATTAGGGCAATGTGTTTTGTTAAATTGTAATTGTATAATAAGGGTAGAACTTTATGGCCTGCTTTTAGTAGGCTAATGTTTTTGTGTGCTCTGAATACCCTAAGCCAGGGGTTTCCAACACGTCGTGAGTGTTGTTAGTGTTGATAAGGAGCCCAAACTACAGTAACCAACTTTCCACTGTTTATATAACACCTACAGTACATACAATCTATAAAAGGTTTTGGTATGTGAAAGGAGGTGCATATGAGCTTGGCAAGCTATGGGATGACTGATGTTGTTTGTTTTTGATACAAAGTGCATTACATATTAAGCTGGTTAGCTCCTTAACATTACATGGAAATTAATGGAAACGGACACTCAGAAGAACAAAGCCAGAAGTCGGAAGGGCGTGGTAGATCGAAGGGTCAAGTGTGTCTTTGAGTTGAATATGGAGAGACGGGTGGAATCTTAACATGTGAGCTTAATGTCTTCTGTCGGCAGTTTCTACAGTGTCCATTACCAGTAAACCTACACAAATTCATTAAAAAATTATAGGGGAATAAAGATGGTTCAGAAAATGCCTGAGGCTCATCATAGTCTGTGTGCTTAGTTTAGTAGTCTCTGGGCAGGGACTCTCACCTTTTTATTTTTGTTTTCTTTCAAATCACATGACCCTTAAGAGACTCCATACTCTTTAATCCTAAGCAAGTGCTTCTATTTTTTAAGTCACTATTGACTTACTGACAGTGAAATTCAGGTACTCCTCTTGATGTGAAACATTAGCGGGACGGTTCAGAGGACACAGTCCCTCGCTTTCCCAGTATGTTTTTAACTTTGAGTTAAGTACCTACAGGAAGTGTTTAATTTCTTTGAAGTAGGTTAACAGTGATTTGGAAAAAAGGTGAAGTACAAGTACATAAATAATGAATAGAAACAGTTTTTGTGTTAGATGGAGAAGTTGTGTATGACTCTTGTGCTGATTGTATTAGTGCTGAGGAAATGAATATCCTCTTCACTGTGTGAGAATTTATTCATTTGCATCTTTGCATATCTATGGAGTATTTCAACTTTGAGAATTAAAACAGATTCGTATGTATTTACTCACATGCTCACGTGCCAGCTTGATTTAACCAGACGGTTCTGGCTCAGAGCTGCTGGCTTCATTGCTCAGGCCAAGCCTGAACAATTTGCAGTCATGAAAGAGAAAAAGTTGACCTCTGACCAAAACCCCTGTGGTGGAAAAGCTTCAGCAAAGGTTCTTGTGTTTCCATGAACCTGCATATCTGTTTGTTATCATGAAGCTCGCAGCCAGCTGTTCTCCTCAGGGCCATACTGTGTGGTTGAGTGTATTTCCGTGTCACGTTTTATAAATGTGTATATATGTGACACACTCACATTGTGGGGACTTGGCCATCCTTGTGGGGACCAGAGGCTGCCACTGAATTTTTGTGTGGCAACATGGTTTAAGGTTAGGCGTATAGGATCAGGGTTAGGTGTTAGGCAAGTAGTGGTTATGGTTAAGGTTAGGATAAGTCTACAGAAAATTAATGTAAGTCAATGTAAAAATGTAAAGTCCCCACAAGGACTGAAAACACAGCGTGTGTGTGTGTGTGTGTGTGTGTGTGTGTGTGTGTGTGTGTGTGTTTGTTTTAATTACATACATACTATACATTTTCTGTTGTGCTTAACTTTGATTCATCACCATGAAATCTTGGTTGTATGTTGATGGGACATCAGCATTTCACCTCAATTATGTTTTTGTTTTTTTTTTTCTCTTTTGTCTCGTATTTCCCAGATGACGATGATGATGGCAAAGCTACAACTCAGCCCCTGTTGAAAAAAGGCAGGAGATCCACTTTATTGGGTTGCCTTAAAACCTTTCTTTCTCTGCCTTGTTTTTATCTTTAACCATCTTTCTGTTCTATTTTGTGTGCTCCTTTCCCACAAATCATATTTTCCTTTACTCTTGCTTTCTTTCTATCACCTCGTTTTTCACAGTGTATTTTAATACACCATGCAGGCCTGCACCCTGCTGTCTCTGTCTTGTCTCTCCTGGGTTTTCACCCCGCTAAATACTTGGCTTTCAGGAATAACATTTCGTCTTTTACTGTTTTTCTCCTGCTCTCCTGTTAACAGTCTCCAGCTTATAGCTCAAGCCCAGTTTCTGAAGCTATACTGTATGTGATAGTGCATTTAACTCCTGAGTATTTAATGTTGTGTGCGTGCCAGTATCTCACTTTCCCTGTCATCAGTCTCTCGCCTGCTGCTGCTTCTCTCTCTGGAGGTGACAGTTTATCTCTAGCTTTCTCTTTCAGGATGAAAACAGCTGTCATGTTTTCATGTTTCCAGCCTTGTCCAGCTAACTCCTTAGCTTCACACAGCTTCTCTCTCTGTTTGTTTGCTGTTCAGTATTGATGGCGCCTCCCGTGATGCTGTTAAAGTCCCCATGGCATGCTCATTTTGCTCGTTTCCAGCCTTTTAATGTTTAATCCGGGGTATCTCTAGATTAGCTTGGCACCCCTCATAAATCCAAATAGTCTGTAATTATTTCAGAATGATAAAGCCAGAGAGCCTCTTCCTAAAAACGAGAGGATAGTTTGTGAATGTGCACAACTCCTGCTGCTAGTGTTGTGTTGAAAGTAGACAACTAACAGCAACAGCATTAATTTATTTGAATTTCTCCTCCATAGATGGGTAAACATCGGTATACATATACCACATGTACCGATGAAAAGAGATTTGTAGCACTCTAAACAAAGCCGGTAATTGAGAAACCCTATATAGTTTATTTTCTTAGAAAAAAGTCTCGCGAGACTTATATCAGCCGAGTTGCTTCTGCATAGGGCATATGTACACCTAATTTTTTGAGCTTTAGGTCACATTTAAGATGATAATTCACCGTTGTAACATTGTAGAAAACAAGGGAAAGCATGCCATGGGTTCTTTAAGCAAAAATTAAACAAATCATCCAGGCATTAGAAAAATTATTCCCAACTCTGAAACCTTTAAAAGAAAAATTATTTTTCTGCTTACAGATGAAAAGTTAAATTGATAAGAAATAAAACTTACTCTTGCTCGGTTCGATACAATCACAGGTTTTGCTATTATCAGTACTTTACGGTAGCTGATATCTAATGCTAGCACACTGGAGATAGATTTGGAACTGACATTGTCAGTCATTTTACTGACTTTGAGACTCTTCACATAAAGACTTCCCCTAATGCCTGTATAATTAGCTACAATTCGCTTTTGCCATTTATTATTTCGAACCATTTTCCCAAGCAAGCTGTCCGTTTTCAAGTGTAAAGGCAGCCTTTTGTCAGTTCACCTCAGTACACCATGAATAAGAACAAGTGCTGTAGTGATTAGTCAGTTTAGTGTATTGATTTCAGCTTCTTAAATGTGAGGATTTTCTGTGTTCAGTGTATAGTGTATCATTTTAAATAATATATATTTTCTGGAAATTGGAATTGGAATTTTCCACTGAGTAACAGTATTTAAGTATATAGTATTTAATTCAACTCAAACCACTTTATTTGTTCTCAGAGGGAATTTGAGATAAGCAGGTATGAAAACATAAATACCTTTAATATCATAACGGCCAGTTCATTACAAATAAAACATAGTTAAAAAAAGATATAAAATACAGTGGAACCTTGGATTGCGAGTAACCCAGTTTGCGAGTGTTTTGCAAGAGGAGCAAAGAATTTTGATTCGATATAAGAGTGAGGTTTCGTAATACGAGTAGTATGTACGCTTTGTCTGCTGAGCGTCACTTGAAGCACGTCACAACTGAGCCGATGTTCTCGCTCTTCACTTGTATAGTCAATATCTGTACTGCAACAGTGGCCCATCACGCCAACCACAATTCTTTTCAAAGGTAAAGTGCAGGTTAATTTGTTTTATTTTTACTTTATACTGTATTTTGTATTACTGTAATCATTTTTATATGGATAAGTGGGTGTGGAACGAATCATCTGAGTTTCCATTATTTCTTATGGGGAAATTCGCTTTGATATACGAGTGCTTTGGATTACGAGCACGTTGCAGGAACGAATTATACGTGCAATCCAAGGTTCCACTGTATTAGAATACAACTGTTAAAAGTAGTGGTCAGTCCATAACTGACCAATTGTGTTCAGTACTAGGAAGACGCAATAAAGTTTGATATTTCAGTTTTTCTTTTTTAATAAATCTGCTAAAATGTCAAAAAATCAATATGGGGTGCTGTATGTACATTAATGAGGAAAAAAATGAACTTAAATGATTTTAGCATATGGCTGCAATATAACAGAGTGAAAAATTTAAGGGGGTCTGAAAACTTTCCGTACCCACTGTATATATCCATAACTGACAAATCTGCATTGGTTGTGCATACAGTCCATTTGGGATGTTTGATTATTGTTTATTACTGGACACTCTCAGGGCTCCTAAGAGGCCAGGAAATAATGATAGTTATAGTTTTATCTTGCCATCTAAATTAGTTTTCCTCTGTTGTTGTTTGTGTGTGCTGTGCTGCACATGTCTGTGTGGGTTTGGTAACCACCCCGGCAGACAAGAAGAGCCCAACTGTACCACTCAACGTGTCTGACCAGAGGCTGCTGGAGGCCAGCCAGCAGTTCCGCAGAAAGCAAGGGAAGGGCACAGTGGATGTCTGGTGGCTGTTTGATGATGGAGGTGAGTCTGGAAGAATGAAATATGTCAGTCCAGTGATCTTATCCATTATAAACACACAGCTGTTATGTTTTAGAAATGCCTTTCAGGCTACTAACCAGACATCACCTTTTTATTACCAAAAGTACAAGAATTCTGTAGGTAGCTAATGAATTGGTATTCAGGGTGTGTACTACACCGTGCGTTTTGGGAACCACATTCTGGCCCTTGGGGCAGCACGGTGGCAGTGAGCGAGGATGCTGAGCTGAGCAGGTGCTTTCCAGGCAGTCTTTGAGAATCGAAGATCTAACAAATTCACATGCAATAATGACATACAGCTGGCACACACAGTAACCCAGGAATGCAGCTTTTGAACCATGATAAATGGAAAATAACCCTGCAGATGTCCCAGTCGATTCTGCCAGTCCACTGCAGAGTCTGTGTGCTGCTGTCACTCACTATTCAGTTAGTTTCCTCAAATTGTCAAGTTTCAGAAAGACGTACTTTTGCTGCAAACATAGCATGGAGATGCACATTTAATATGCTCAGACTTCATGCTGTGATTCAAATCCAAACCAAAAAATTGTTTGTTTTTCCACATCTGAGTATTTTGGCTGCTTTTAACCATCTTCACCTCACAAAAGCCAAACTGATGTTTGGATTTTGTTCTTTCTTTGTCCCATTCTCTCTGTGCAAAAGAACATGACCTCATTCTGCCAGCAACTATTTGGAACTTTCAGCTACTGAGAGCTTCCCCATAGCTGGCTGTTTGAAATGAGCGCTTGTGGTTTGAAAAATGCTTCTTATAACCTCAGTTTTGACAACACAGGGTAGATAAGCTGGAATAACAACAGAAAGGCTGAAAATGTCGGTCATGGAGGGAGTAGGATAGTAGAGAGAGACTACATCCTGTCCTATTTTTACTTTATCAGACAGTGTGTAGCATTTTAGTTGAATGTATTTATCACAGAAACTCGGTGTTCAGCACCTTCATCTCCTGTCCAGGTCTAACCCTGCTGATTCCCTACCTGCTGACCAATAAGAAGAGGTGGAATGAGTGCAAAATCCGTGTATTCATTGGAGGCAAGATCAACAGGATTGATCATGACCGTCGAGTGTGAGTACTGCACCTTGGCCTCATTCATTCAATCAAGTTTGAAAGCTAATACAATAGATCATGTGAGATCACAGTACATCTACTGAAAGGAATAACTGCTCCCTTTTCCCACCTGTACCACACCTGCTGGCTCATATTCATTCTTTAGGTTTTTAAAATCATACCCTTGGATTGCTGTAAGATTAGAATTCATAATACATACTACAAATGCATACTACAGTACTTATAATAATATTAACAAATATATCAACATGAAAATCTTCAGGTTCACAAGACTGGATGAGAATACAATGAAGCCCTAGCGCAGGTCTGGTGTTGCATTAATAACTCAGAACTGTTGTGTTTCTAACTACCTATTACTACTACTGTTATCAGTAGTATTGTTCACATTTATTAGTACTAACGCTCACCATGTACTGTATATAAATGGTGGGGGACCATAAGAAAGACCTGTAATATAAAAACAGATGTGCAGCTTGTTGGCAGTGAACACTGCAGCCATCTGCTTTCCTTTCAGCTCCACAGTCTTCATCTGCTGCTGACAACATGACACACTGACACTGTGTGTCTGCAGCCACAGATACTGTATATCTCATACTTAAAAAAATATTATAAATACTACTTGATAGCAACCTTATGTTAAACTGATGTTGGTTGAGCAGGTCGTTCGGTGGAGGAGAAGAAATTTCAGCAGTTATAGAAAATTTAAGATTCCCCGCTTTTTGCTCGCCGTCATTCCATCATTAAATTAATGTTAGAGACTTGAAACTAGCTGCAGGCAGTTAACCCGCCCAGGTGATTAAGTTAACTATGTCAGTGTCATGTGTTTATGTAGTTAATTGCAGGGTGTTTTTTGAAATGTCTGTGGTGTTGAGGACACCCTGAATAAAGGTGACAAAATATTTACTGGGACTGAATTAGGAAAAGAGAAGTTTCAGGTCTTGGCAAACAGACTTTTTTTTATAGTGTGATAGTGTGATGAGGTAAAAAGTGCTCAACAGTAATGCTCGTAATATTTTGTGGTCAATGAGCAAAAACAGAAAAACACCATTAATATGGTTCCGTAGAGGATTCTGCAAAATAGACGGGCTAAAAGTGCAGTTGCCAGTGTTTGGAACAACACATTAGGCGATCATGCTTTCTGCTTTGTGGTTGTAGTCCTTCAGGGTTGTGCATTCATCAATGTCATTAGTGTTTGACCACAAGCATTTCCTTGTTATTGTGGGGAGAACCGTTTCTTAGGAAATCTTAGTTCTGTTGATTATATAACTTTGTTGATATGAAGGCCATATCAACCAGCACTTTAACTTCCACCATTCACTTACACGTTTAAAAGATAAGGCCAATCATTAATATTTTCAGCAGTCTCCAGAGACTAAAACCGACAGTGAATTGCCTCTACTCACAGTTAATGTCTGTCAGCGTGTCAGTCCTGGATTAGCTTGTTCATCTGTGTGATAGATCTTCAGTGTTGTTCAAAAATCATTAAAAAGGCTGGCCTGTGTGATCCGTCTAGCTGAACTATGAACACTCTAGTTAACGTTGGAAAGTTATATAGCTGTATCAGCGGTGACGCCTGCAGCCTTAATCCTGTAAGCACTGTGCGCTAGTGATGGCAGAAATGAGGCTTTCTGAAGATTTGAACCAATTGCTTTGGAAAATGCTTCCTTCTTGTGAAACATTTGAATCACTCACGCTGGTGACATATGAAGGATTCGAGACGAATGATTTGGAAGAGGCATACTTTCACAGTATCACTGTGTGTAAATAAACTGTGACAATAATAAATGTTCTGTTAATTTTTTATGTTACACTTGTAGATGAAGATGAGTGTTTTTACTGGAGTTTATATTAAGAAAACCTATTTGCTCAAGTGTTTTATAGGCTACTTTAACAGTTTTCTTCCTTAGTCTCTCCTGCTTTAGAGAACCAGTTTCAAGATACTAACCAAGTTTTTAGGCAAGTTGAACGCTGCCTTAACGATTATAGCATGGCCAGTGTGTACACAATCCCACCCCTAATTCATACCCTGGATGCAGACCTTAAATTGCATTCAAAGTGATCTAAAAAGGTCTTAAAAATCTTGAATGTAAGTTGATGAAGCCTGCAGAAACATCCTTCTTTTTCAGAAATATCCTCACCCCCATGTGGGCTCCAGACTGCGACCAATTAGTCACATTTTGCAACTATTTTTAACAATAGTGCAAATAAATTTCATAGCTAGGTAACAGCACGATCTGCAAATATACCCAACCCCCCTTTTTTCCTCAGTCATCATTTCTCATGACACTCCGGGAGGGAGGGAGAATTGTTTTGTGTGTGTGTGCGTGGCTTTTGTGAGGCTATGGTTATCATAACAATGCGGTTTAGGAACTGTTCTGCACGGGATGTCATCTACCATCTACACAAAGGCAAAGAAAGGAACACCGTCTATGTAGGCTACTGCGCTTGGTATGGCTCAACATTTGTTGATGCCACTGCAAGCTTTAAACATAAAACACTCCTAAAGCACAACAGCAAAAACAAACTATGTAAGGACAGGTACACTCATTGCAGCATTTAGTAAACTATGCAGGGACAGGTACACTCATTGCAGCATTTAGAAGTCAGGACTCTGCCGATCAGCCTTGTTTTGATGTTTGAACGAGAGCGGGCTTTTCTTGTCTCCTATGCACACACAGGGAGCAAACAGCTGCTGTCATGTGCTGGAGACACAGAGCCCAGGGGAAGTGAAACTAAAGTTTACCATACCTATGCTTGCTAATGTTTGTACAATAAAACCTTTGTGAGTAAAAAGCCAATGGGAGTAATTTAAAGTATAAACTAGCAAAGAAGAGAAAATTTAAGCTTTGTCCATAGTCTGCAAGCTGGTTAGGCTAACAGCTAATGCCTAACTGTGGTGATCTGTCTAGTGCAGCAGCTTCATGGTCCTCTGTGTTGCCATTATCTCCCCCGTATCTCCCTCCCTTCACCAACTATTCAGTTCAATTCAGTTTATTTGTATAGCGCCCAAATCACAACAAAAGTCATCTCATTACAAAGTAAGGTGAGAGAGAAAGGACACTACGGGAGAGTGGAGACACGAAGTGTTATGTTAAGGATGGCTCCCGTTGCTTCATCGGGCCATGCTTTCTGCCCCACCCAAAGAATCTTGAACTCAAAAATAATGAAACGGTCCACAATTCATCACTACAGAGTTCTCGGTCTTTTCACATTTTCAGCAGCTATTTTCTAACACTGATGATGTGTTTAGAAACAAATGACTGATTTCGCTTTACCCAGACTTTTTAACATCAAAATTTATATTTTATACCAATATGAATCTGTAAATTAACTAGTAACTAAAGTTATTTGTAGGGTAATAAATGCAGTGGAGTAAAACTTTGTGTTAGCCCGAGATGAAGGGGAGTAGAAGTATAAAGTAACAGAAAATTTAATTTGACCACAACATTGTACACAACAGTTACCAATAACAAATAATTTTAAAGGAATTTATGATGCAGCCAAAGGCACCTTTCATCATCTGGGGACAGACAGTGGCCATCAAGCAGCATTTAACTTTGACTTTGTCCTTTAAAATAAAACTGCACATTATTTCTGTAATTTGTCTATTTGTGATCCTAAAATTTTCACTAAGGAGCACCAGTGCTAATAGTGGGAAAAGTCCATCTGGAGGCCTGCGTGGTATAAAACTCAAATAGGTTCTTATAATGTATAGCCATAAC